AGCTCCAAGCCTCCATACAGGATTATACTTTCCATCAAAGAATTGAATATTCAAAGAATTGAACATCTTCATTCTCCTTTCGAAGTTATTTTTAAATATTCTTTCTCTAATGCTCCACATTCTCTTCATTGCCACTGTTGCTTTCTTTATCCTTTCTTTTATATGTTTCTCTGTCCTTCCATTTTTCTGTATCCCAGATACTTGATCTATTTAACTTCTTCTATTTCCTCTTCTCTTCATTTTCACTCTCTCTTTTTTGTTCTACTTCTACCTTTCCCGAATATCATTATTTTTTACTTCTCCGAGCTCAATTTCAATCCTTTTCTTTGTATGAACTTCCCAAATCTTTTCAGCATCTCTCTCATATCAGTTTTTCTATTTGCCAGTAGAATCACTCATTCGCATACATTATTGACCAACATTTCTCTTTTCCTATTACTATTCTTCCTGTCTGACCTTTTGCCATCTCCTCCTCCAAGTCTGACATATTAAACAGTGTCGGGCTTAGCGGACATCCTTGTTTGAGGCCTTTTTCAAAACTCCTCCGACTTCCTATTACCTATTTTTACTATATTTCTTGTTTCCTTATACGTCTCCATAACTCGGTGCCTGAAATTGTTCTTTATCTGCATCTTTACTATCATTTCATTTAGCAGCTTTCTATCCACATTATCGAATGCAGCTTTTAGATCCGCAAAAAAGGCAAACATCTTTCCTCTTTCCTTTCTGAATCCGAATTGTCCTTCCTTCAACTTTTTCTCCGCTTCTGTTTAGAATAGTTGCATAAATTTTGTATGCTGTGTTCATTAATGTAATTCCTTTGTAGTTTTTAATTTCTCTTTTTTCTCCTCTTTTGTAGGTAGGGCAGATTAAGCCTTTGTTCCAATCTGAAGGTATTCCTTTCCCTTTCCATACTCTGTTAATCATTTTCCAGAATTCTTCTCCAATTCGACATAAATCTCCATGCCTCATTCTCTATCTCGTTTTCTCCCGGAGTCTTTGTTTTGTTTAATTTTCTCAACACTATTAACTCTTCTTTTGCAATTTCTTCTATTTCTTTTCTATTTGTTGTTTTCCTCTTCGCTTTCGTCACTTTCTAGTCTCAGAATCGCTCTCTCCCGCGTGTCCCCTAGCATCTCCATAAAATGATCCCTCTAGTTGTCTATCTGTATATTCTTACTTGGCCCCTCCGATTTCTTCTTCCTGTACTTATTTATGTATTTCCATGCCTCTTTCTCATTTCTTATATTGCTTATCTTTTCTTCTGCTGTTTCCTCATGCTTCTTTTTCTGTGTTTCATATCATTTCCTCCTTTTTATCACATAATTTTCCTTGTTAATCCTTCCTTCCTTCAGTTCCCTCTTTTTTTAACTTTTTCGAGATACAGCCGAGACAGACAGTTTTTTGCAGATTCGGTATACGTGCGACATGCGGATCGGAAGCTTCTAAAAAAATTCCAAGCGTCTTTACAGGTTTCCAAAACACAAACTTGGCCACCTCGTCAATAAAATCGAAAAATATAAGCTAAGCCGCATGTCGTACGTACACAAATTTCAACTGTAAAACGGCAAGCTAACTCAGATCAGTCGCGCGTTCGTGTGACGCGAAATGCGTAACATGCGTACACCCCAATCAGGATTCCTGATTTAACGGGTGCGCATGGCAATAGCGTACCGCTTGGCCATTGCGCTCGAAAATCGCCAATCGTTGCTCGAAACAGGGAGTCACCTCAAATTTTTCAATTTTGCGAGAATCTCATAAGCGATTATAAAAGGAAGCCTTTGTTCTTCAAAGAGGATAAAAGGCAAAATCGAGCAGCAATGCCCTTTTTCGTTGTTTTCGGTCAGAGTCAATGCTTCGCTACAAGTGCAATCGCCTGGGAGACGCTCCGCCGCCAAAAAACCGCCGCGTTCGATTCACGATCGAGAATTTGCGTAAATTGAACTCGGCTAAAACGCCGTCTCACTCAAAGTTTTCTCGCCGTCGTTCTCGTTTTAACTCGCTCTCGAACAACTTTCTTTCATATCTCTCCATTTTTTATTATACCAATCTTTTTTTCCTAATTTCCATGGGAGTATTTTTTTTTTTATATTTCTTGATTGCATTTTTAATCTTTTCTTTTATCTCCAAATGCCCTCCGTATCCTTCCGTGTACTCTTCCATTCTTCGCATTTTTCTTGATAGCTTTTTATAGTCTCTTTCGTCCAGTCACTTTTCTCTATTTCCATTTCCATCTCCTTTCTATCTTTCTTCTCCATTATTTGCGGCCCCTATCAGTTCTACCTCTAATAGAATGTGATCTGACTCTGTCCTATTGTCTTTTTTTACCCTTTTGATTTCTTCTTCATCATTTCCTATCACGTAATCTATGACAGAAAATCTTCTCCTCTATATATGTCCATTTCCCCTCTTCTCCGAAGCTTCCATTCAGTATCGCCCATCCTCTCCTCCTATCTTTCCTATTAGTCTACGGCCTTCTTTGTTTATTATTTTGTCTATTGATTTCCTGCTCTTATTTCTTTTTTCATTTTCTTCCTTTGTTACCGGTCCTCCTTCACTATCTATTATCCTTACGTTTAAATCTCTTCTTACTATCAAATACTCTTCCTCTTCTTCTTGAATATATTCAACATCTCCATTGTTTTTTCTATCTCTTGACTATACGCTATTATTATTTTCCATTTATTTCCATTGTAGTCCATTTTACATTCCATCGCTGCTTCATTTATTTCCCTAACTTTCATGTTCTTTATTTTCTTGCTCACTGCAGTGATTCCCGTCTTTTGCCCTTCCTATTTTATGCTCCTTCTTTGTCGGTATATAGTTCCACTAGTAGTCTTTCGGCAATCTTCTCCCACCTGTCTTCGTCTATCCATGTCTCCACTAATTCCACGATGTCAAAGTATTCCAGATATTCTCACGTTTTCTCATATTTACTAGACCGCAATGTCCCAGAAACTGATTCTTAATCCTCTTTTCGTCTCTTCCCAGCCATCCTCTTCTTTTTCTCATTCTCTTCTTCCTCCTCTGTCTTCTCTTATTCTTTTCTCTTTCTCATTCCAGCGTAGCCACCTATCTTTCACAAAAATCTTATCATAGCCTTGTTTCCTTTCTCTTTCTCCTCTTTAACTTTATCCTTCAACTGCTTTTGCATTTCTCTCTCCCTTCTTGTTGAGTCATTATCTATAAATATCTATAAATTCCTGCACTTAACTCTTTCTTTCTCATCATAACCTCTCTTTTCTTCCCAGCTCTCCAATTCAGTTATTATGGTGCACTTATTCTTTTTGTTCCTGAAACACCTTTCTTACTTCTTACATCTACCTTCAAATTTTCTTTAACGAATTCTACGACCTGCTGTTCCATCTTGTTTCCATCCCATTTATTTATACTTCTAATTATGTTATTTCTTTGTCTTCCTCTATCATATATCTATTCTTTTCTCTCTCCCATTCTAGCTTTTCTATTCTTCTTTCCTCCTTTCAATGTTGCATTTTTCCTGATTTTTTCTTCTTCTTTCCTTCATCTCCAGCTTTCCTTCTTTCCATTCCTTCATCATTTGCTCGATATGTCCCATCATGTTTTTGTTCATCTTTTCCGTCCGTTTACAAATATTTTCCTACATCTCCCTCACAAACTTTATCATAAGCTCCTCTTTTCCTGTTCTCACGTATCTTTGGATATTTTCTTCTTTAGATTTGTTTTTATTATTTGTCGGTCTTCCTATCATTGCCACCTAACGGCTGCTGCACACTCTTCGCTCTTTCTCCTTTCCCAGTTCGCTCTGTCTTCCGCCTAATCTAGTGGCTTTCCCTAACCTTCTCAGTTCTTTTATTCTTTCAGATTCTTCCTTCTTTACTTGCTTTGCTTTCCCGACCTTTTCTCACCTTCTTTCTTTTCGATCCACTTATTATTTTTTTCCTCTTTTCGTTTTACACTGTTTTCTGTTGATATCTGTGCTTAATCAAGGTCGATATTACAGGTTTTCATTTCCAATGTATAAGATGCTTACACTTTGAATTAATATGATCATGCGGGAAATTTGATCGATTAATTATCGACATTTTTATTCCGTTTCCTATTTAATCATCTGAGGACAAAAACATGTATTAGGCTCGGTCCCACAAATGTAAGATTTATTTTATTTTGGGAAATTTTTTCCAATTTTAGAATTAAGAAAAAAATAATTCGAGATTGAAGTTAATCTTATATTTGCGAAATCGGGCCTTAGAAATACAGTTGTATGCATGCAATGTAGGCCGCGTTCCAATATATATCAATATTGGTAACCATATATCAATATATATTCAATGTATACATATAAAATATAATGTGTACATACAGGGTCCATTATAAAAGTAATGCGCATTTTCTGGGAAAAATAGATTTATTGATCGTAGCGGTACAAATGCTCAAAATTCTTCAAAATACTCTCCCCCTGAATCAATACACTTGCGGAGACGTGTCTGCCACGCCCGGAAGGCACGCTGAAACTCCTCGACGGGAATGTCTCTTAGGAACGTTGTAACATGCTTTTGGATGTTTTCCACGGACTCCAAATACTTTCCTTTCAGCTCTCTCTTCAGACGGGGAAACAAAAAAAA